TATGTTCCAGATGGTCCCTTTTCAGTCTTTTTCCCCTTCATTTCCCCCACTTCTTCTTGTCCCTTTCTTTTTTACTTTTATTTATTTATATATACATATATTTTTATTTTATTTTATTTGTCTATTTTTATTTATTTTTTTATTTTTTTTGCTTTTTTACTTTTTTTCAACCGTTTTGTATCTTTCATGTGGGTTCATCTACTACCGACCCCAATTAATTTAGGATAAAGATATTGTTGATGTTGATGTTGATTGACAAATCAATAATTGATTTATCAATTAAAAGTAACAAAATGGGTCCATCTCCTTCACCTCATTACTAATCAGCCAAAGAAAGGAAGGGTGAGTTTGCCCGCCTTTTAAAAATAGGTTGAAAACATCAATCCGTTTTATTTTATGACAGATCAACCTACTTAAATAATAATAAATTTTAAAAAACTAAAAAATATATATTATATTATAAATTTTATAGTATTAACTAATCTCACCACACACTCTGATTTGTTTACCATTTGAAATAAAATATATTCTCATGCAAGCCTGATGAGAATAGGAAAATAATAAAATATTTCTCACGCATGCCTCATGAGATTTCTATACTATTTTTTATTACTTATTTTACTATTTTTCATATGTACAATATTAATTAGTACAGGTTAATTTTTTGCCGTATCAGTTGGACACCTATTTAAATTCTAAAAAAAAATTAACTTGTTATTAAATTTTTCAGCATATTTTTCCCTTGACGGAACCAAATTAATTATGCTCAAACTATATATTTAGGATATTCATATTTTCCTATGTAAATTAATAGTATTCTATGTAAATCGAGGGGCTACAAACTACCCTTCAATGCTTGACCCCATACATTGCCACTAGTGGAGGGTATTCGTTATTTTTTATGCCCTTGTGAGCATGTTATGTATATCCTTTGTTTTCTTTTTTCCTTAAACTTTTAAAAAGTTTTTGACATTGTTTATGCCCGTACATCTTTCATTAAATTTTCTTCAACAAACATAGCATCTAAGTCTTGAAATTGAGAGAAGAATCTGTATGTACTCACTATGAGTCTAGGAAAGTTGAAAAGTAGTTGAACAAACAATTAATAAAGTGAGCATCTTCAACCTATTGAGAAATTCAAGTCCTACATTACTCGGTATATAAATGAAGGGAAAAATGTTTATTCTTTTAAATGACACAATTTATATTGTTTCACTTTCACAAAGAGATGAGACTCACACCTTTATATTTTTTTGTCTACTCTCTCTTCCTTTATCTATCTCTTTCTCTCACTTAAAATGACATAATTTTACATCTTTTAAAATGATACACACCTTTCCCATAAATGAAAAGATCCATAAATTCAATATTTTAAGATTTTGAATTGAAATGTAATGTCGAATCCACTTGATATGATGTATTTGTCTAACTTAATTCATTAATAATAATTTCCCGTCACGAATTTTCCCTGAACTCGCCTGACACAACCAGAGAAAGAGTGTGTGTGTGAGCAAATGTTCGATTTTTTTATTAACAGTTTAAAATACCAAGCATGTCAAAATGGTATGTGACAACTCCTATTTTAATTTAATCGTGTAATGAGATAAAGATATTATTTTAGAGACTGAACGTGAAGAATGTAGCAGGTGGACACACACGAGCCAGCGAGGTAGGTGACCAGGTGTTTCACAATATCCACACATTTACGTCCAACTTTATTAGAAAATTTCATTTATAATTATTATTATTTTTTACCTTTTAGTTATTATTTCCATTATATTTAAATTAACTATGCATGCTTTTAACTGTCAATTGGAAATGCAAGATTCAGCAAGCTTTGTGGTGAGCACGGAGGGAACTATTATTTCTCCTTTTAATTAATTTGTAATTATTGAATGATTCAATCAGTTGTATTGTATTAATTATTTAATTTGTGCTATCTCTCAATAGAATCAATCGCACCTTAATATTCAAAATAAATAATAATACTTTCATCTGCATACACTAAGCTAAATGTTAATGAAATTAAATATTAACATTTGGAATTAACTTTAATTATTGTGTGGGATTATGAAAGAGCAAAAAACTATTATTTTACCTTACAATGACAGAAAATTTAGAATTTTAAATCAAGAAAAGATGCTGTGAATAAAATTTAGAAAAATATAACGTACAATTTATGTTTTCACTACCTGCGGATCCAATATCTAATCAATTCAATCTTGGTTAGATCGGTTTAGTTCAAGTTATATATATATATAGATTGTACAATTTTTTTTTTTTTTCCAAAAACCAAACCAAACTAGTCCAATTAGAGAGGATGGGTTTGGATTTTTTTTCTAAACACAAATCAAACCAATCCACGGATACTCCTTCATATATAACTTGACACAAATATCAAAAGATATCATTTTTTCCAAAATTATTTTCGATTTATCTCACTATAGAAACTTTTTTCCAATTCGCACTATTAGTTAGACCAAGTTTCCAAGTGGCAAAACTTAGTCATCTCAAGCCCAACGAAATTAATCAGGTTCTCTCTCATGACAGAATCATGATCATTCATCTTAAATTTCACTTTCTCTTCCATCTCTATCCTCTCATTTCATATAAATTCCATTAAATTGAAAATAATAATTAAGTAGAAAAAAATTTAAAACATATGTATAAAAAAATTAAAAACATAAACAATTTATTTATCCCGTCATTTTGTGTGTGTGGATATTATCTATTCAAGTTCTCTCTATCAAGTTTTAATAGCATTCTCCGAAAACTTGAACTCGGGAACACTGGTTAAGCTGATATTATCTATGTGTTTGGTGGTCGTGATATTTCAAAATAGCTGCAAATTCAAAAAATTAAATTTATTATCCATAATGATAATTTGTTTTCCTAATTGCAAAAAAAAAAATGCTCCATAGGGGACTCTTTTTTCCCCTGAATAACATCTTTTTGAGAAATATGTTGTATTGTCTATTGTTAAAAGAATATTTTTGCCTATAAGCTTTTTTTTTCATCACTTCCAAACTTTTAAAATTTTGAAAATAACTTATGAAAATATAAAAATTAAATATTTTCATCATATGTATTGAACAATTTAAATAAACATGAACAAAAATAAAAAATCAATTTCCAAATTATTATTATAATTAAAAAATGTTCACGTTTTTTAATTTGTAAGTATTTCAAAAGATCCAGAAAAATGAGAAATATTTATGATGTTAAATATTATTTGATTTAATAAATTTATTATCAATTTTTAATTCAATACTAAAATGATAATACCATTCTAATTCCAATTTGATTAATTTATGAAAATAATATTTTTTTCATTTCAGGGAAAATTAGAAAAAAAGAGAGAGGAAAATCAATAATAAAATTATTTCATTGATAATAAATTTATATTTTTAAATTTACAGGAATTTTGACCAAATTAATTTAGTATTAATTTTTAATTAATTATAAAATAATAATAATTTAATATAAATTTATGTGGAGTGAGAATATAAAAATGAGAGAGGGAGCTAAATTTATAACCCATAACCAAAATTCTGCCATATGGTAGTCTGATCTAGTTACTGGGGCTAGGGGTGTTAATGAGCTGAGTCGAGCTTTGGTCTCAAAAGACTAAGTCTGTGTTTAAATGTGTCAGTCTGACCTAGCCTGTTACCTATTATGAATATAATTATCGGCCTGTGGCCTGTCTTATTTGTAAAAAATAAAAGTCTTATTTAGTCTATTTAAAAAAATAAGATAAAAAAATTTATTCTAACAAAATATATTATCAATAACCCTAATAACTTTACAAATATTCATAAATTCAATGTATATCCAAAAAGTATAATATAGAACAAAAACATTCAAAAAAATTGTTTAGCCAATAAAATGAGATGAAATAGGTTGAGGAGAAAGAGAGTTATTATGAATAGTATAAAAATATAAAATAAAAATAAAAGTTAGTATATTAGGCCAGCCTGAAAGGTTTTGAGGCCGAGCTTTTGAATTAAAGCCTGAGGTCTTTTTATTAAACGAGCTTTTATACAAGTCCAAGTCTGGTTCCAACAATCAATTTTAGACATGTAGGCTCAAGCCTTCACAAGCCGAGTCTAAAGCCCCTGGTTCATTTAGCACCCCTAATTGGAGCCAACGTAACTTAAAGAGGTATCGATTAAAAAAAAATTACCATAAAATAAATTTTTATGCATCATAACTTACATATAAACAATTACCTTGTGAAAAATGCTAAAGAAACTTTTTTTGTTAGAATATTCAACAAAATAATAATATCTTGTTTAACAAATAAATAATTCTTTCCATGTTATTTCATTCAAGAATAATTTTTAGCCGAAATAGAATCCAATCATTTTTTCCTTCAATTATATTATATTGCTAGAGAAATACTAGTTACACATTTATTAAAAAAAAGTTAACACATTCATTAATATTTAACATATTATTTATTGTTGGATAAAATATTATGCGGACTTCACAAAATAACCTAGACCTACTATTTGAAAAGAAGTCACATAAATAAGTGAACGAAACCCACTGAGGAGTCGAGAAAGAAAAAATAAAAATGAATCCCATTTATTTTAAATTTTTATGTATGAGATAAAATTATATCGTTTAACATAAGAGATATATTTCTCAGAAAAATTACATATATTAAAAAGAAGATTAAGTAGTAAGTCAAAAATATATACATTTATAGCTTAGAGAATGATCGGTTTATAATTTTTTTTTTATAAATTACATTAAATCTGATGAATTATATGCTCTTGATTAAAATATGATCGGTTAAACATAGTATAATTTATAAGAATTTATAAATAAAAAATGTAAATACTACCTTCCCGTTATAGTTTACATTACAAACCCGCCAAGGTGGACTTTGACGGTAAAGTAATATGAATAGGTTCACTTGACCCATTGGACTGAGGCACACTGAGTCTTCTATAAATTGCTACTTCCATATCAACCATTTCGCCTCCACCCAAACCCCAAAACCAACACCAACCATAACCATACACAAAACCAAGTTAATTCATAAAGAAGAAGCTTCTTTGAAATACCCCCTTGGAAACTCAAGCATACAAAGAGGCCAAGCCTTTCTACATGACATGATATTACTACTATTCCCATAATCATAATATAAACACAACACCCCAATATTCATCTCTTTCCATATTCATATAACACCATATATCTCTCTCTCTATATATATATATATATATAGGTGTTTTTCTATCTTCTATATATCTATCTATATAAGTCTTGTTCATCAGAAATAATGGGAGTTGTGCGCACGTGGGAAAGTAGGAGGGTGGAGCTGGAGGACTTTCGCCGGAAGATGGTGGAAACCGCCGGCATACAGCGGAGGAAGGATGATGAAGGAAGAAGAACAAACACCCTTTTTTGTTCTGATTATGATGATGATGTTGATGAAGGGAGGAACATGCTCTGTGTCACTAGTGGTGTTTCCTATTTTGGACTCGCTTTGGTCAACCACCTTTTGCTCTTAGGTTACTCTGTTCGAATCATAGTTGACAACCCAGGTTGGTATCCTCTTTCTTTCTTTCTTTCTTTCTTCTCAAATCCAATTTTTTTTTTTTTTTTCTGGAACAAACCAGTTTTGGATTTGTTCCAAGTTCAAATTCTGTTGAATTGGTCATGGGTTTGATTGTGTTGAACAAAATATGAATTTTTTTTCTTCTCATGGGTAATTTTGAATTCAAGATGTCAACAAGGAACTATGAATAATAATACGTAATTTGTTATGTAAAAATAAAAAAATACAAAATTGCAAAGTTGGTGGCAATGTTAGTTTCTTATTAAATCAGGGTAGGTAATGAGAGAACAGAGAGGGAGAGAAAATATAGCAAAGTTGAGCTGTACAATTTCAACACTTGAGAATTTAAATGGTATTCGGTGTATATTATTCCCAGATTTACTTAACAGATTGTGACTTGTGAATGTAAATATTATTAATTTTCATTATAATTTTTTTGTTAAAATTATGATGGACTTCTAAAGGGAATTACAATTTATAAGTTGCCTTAATGTAATCTATGAAATCTGTTTGATAAAAAATCTTTAGTTAAGTAAATAACTTTTTTTTTATTTCTCAAAATACATACACTTGCACGTTATTTCTGACAATTTTTTTTTTTCATTTTGTATTAGAAAGTCAATTTTTTTCATGAAATTTCACTGAGAAGTCAGTTTTTCAAATAGTAGATATAAATTCAAGTTTTTCAATCTCTAAAAAGAATTAAGAACATTAGAAAGTTAATTTTTTAAAAATGGACTATTCAATACAAAATATAAAAACTCTTTTATTTAAGTTAATTTTTGGGATCGGTTCAAATCAACGATAACATATTCTACAATTTGAAAAGTGTGCATGTGGAAGTTTTCCTATATTTTGTTGTTGACGTATATGGCAAATTATGTGCGATAAAAAATTGTATACATGTTGGCAACTTGATGTCCATATTTATTGAAGACTGATCCAATCTAATGGAATATGCACCAAAATAGTTATTATTTTGGTGAGTCGTCGCTAGAGAATGTTATAATTATATGTGAAATGTCAATTTTATATTTATTTATATATATGATGATGATGTACGACTATGTTAATTATTCAATTGTCCAATTTTGAATAAGGAATCAGTCTCTTCCGTATATATGCCAAAGAGCCGTCTCACATAAAAGTAAAATTCTTATGATATCTATGATCTTGGTTTATTTTAATTATCCAATATCTTTACATTAATAGTTTATTGTCGGCGTTAATTAAATATACTAACAAACCGAAAGAGTGCTGCCTGCAAGAAGTTAATGAATAAAGATAATTCCCTTTTCTTCTTTTGTATATTATTATTTGGACAACACTAAACGAAAGCTCACACATGGCCACCATTATGTGGATGTCTTTAGTTTAGTTGAGTTTTACACATTAATTAAGTAGGACCAATGCACTATCATGATGTTATTTTCACATCCTTAAATATTCATGTAATCTTTAATTTAATACTTTATCTGTATAATAAACTTTATCTTATAACTAAATGACTCTTAAATTTATTTTGTAAGCAGTTTATATTTGTTTACATTTCTCTCAATAGGCTAATGTAAAAAAAAAAAATTATAATGCAAAAAGTGAACAAATGTGACAGATAATTGTCAAGTTTTGAGCCTTAGGTGTTGGTTATTAATGAGGCTTGATTTGTATGTGTATGGTGCAGAAGACATAGAGAAGCTTCAGGAAATGGAGAGTTCTGGTTTGATGAGGACCACAGAATATCATTTTGAAGTAGTTATTGCAAAGCTAACTGATGTTAATAGCTTAGAGAAAGCATTTGAGGGTTGTCGTGGCGTCTTTCACACCTCTGCATTTACCGACCCTGCTGGACTCTCTGGTTATACAGTTAGTATCTTTTCTCATTTACTCCTTTTTTCTCCTTTCAATGTCTACATATACACTCTAGAAAAATATATGGGCAAAAAGGGCAAATCTTGTTGTATAAGGTTGCCTGATTTTAATTTCTTAGGATATATGTGAAGGTTGTTGCGTAAGTCATTTAAAGGATATAAGTTGTGTTTTTAAAACATGATACAATTTATATACTTTAAAAGAATAAACTTTTAATTTTTAAGGGTTTGCTTGGATCAGGGCTTGAAACTATGTCTCAAGCAAATTCTTAAAAAATCTTTAGGGGTTAGAGAATATGTCTCTCTTCTCGAAAGAAGATTAGTCTCATTCTTCCTCCGGTAGCGAAGCTCAATGCACACGTTGTTTCAATAAGGGGTAGTCTTCGGACTGTACTCCGAGGACAAGATGACTGGAGGGAATAAATTTTTGGTACTACTGTTGCACCAAGATTCAATGCATCCCATTAATAGGAGCATTACACATCATAGGAGAGAGAAAAAGTTTGGCAGAGAAAATAAAAATTTAGCTAACATGTAATATTTCTATTGATGAGATGTACTAAATATTTGGTGCAACAATAGTTTCAAAGATTTATTCGACTGGAGGAGATTGAATGAGAATACCCTCCAGATTATACCCTAAAAAAAAGAACAAACTTTTTTCCATTTTACAAATGTCACAAAAAATAATCTTATCATTGCTCTAAGTCTCGCATACGAATAAATCTTTGGTACTACTGATGTACCTAGATTCAGTGCATCTCATGAATGAGAGCCTTACATATCATATGAGAGAGAAAAAATTTGATAGAAAAAAAGTATTTTAACTGACATGTAATATTTTCATTGGTGAAATGCACTGTATCTTTGGTACAACAGTAGTACCAAAGATTTATCCCTCGCATACCTAACAAAATATATGTTGTTAGAGAAAAAGTTCTTTATTTTACTATATCCTTATAATTATGGTACCCCAACATATGCCCTTTAATTAAAGGCACTTTTTATCTTGTCTCGTCTAGCATTATTGTACTTGCATTATTAATTGCCTGATTGATTGCCCCCCACCCTCATTTTGTACATACTTGTACGAGTCATGATAAATAATGGTGACACTGCCAACTGACAAGTATCAACCAAAATCAAAAAAGTTTAATTACTTGCTGGTGTGGTGATTTACTTTCAGAACATAACTTGTTATTCTAATAAACAGCATGGTATTTTATAATTATTGATTCCTATACCTACCCCCTTAACTGACAGCTACAATACGGTATGTATTATTAAGCACATTATGTGACAAAAGCTTCAATTCTATCATTCAATTTTTTGAATCACACAATGCTTGTGTTACACAGGTTATCTTTAGTTCTGCATGGTTTAATTGTTGTGACAATGACATAATAAATATGTAAAAGAAAAATAATCTATCATGTTTTATCTAAGCAATTGTTTCTGTCTGATATCTAGAAATCCATGGCTGAGATTGAAGTCAGGGTCACCGAGAATGTGATGGAAGCATGTGCAAGAACACCTTCAATTAAAAGATGTGTGTTCACCTCATCACTATCTGCTTGTGTCTGGCAAGACAATGCACAATCAGACCTCTCCCATGTTATTAACCATGGATCCTGGAGCACTGAATCACTCTGCATAGACAAGAAGGTAAATTTCCAAAACCATTGCACCTGTTTTTTATTTTATTTCCTCATATACAACATGTTTATGTGGAGAATATCTTTGGTACTACAGATGCACCGAAAACTCAGTGCATCTTCTATTCATATTGTGACACGTGTCTTACTTTATATCAAATCATTCTCTCTTTTAATTTCAAAATAAATTATTTATTATTGATTTGACAAAAGTAAGACACGTGTCACAAAATGAATGGAAGATGCACCGAGTTTATGGTGCATCCGTAATCCGTAGCAACAAAGAAATTTCCTTTTATGTGAGTGATATAATTATAATATATGACCCTTCTCTTTTTGTGTGAATATATTGCAGCTATGGTATGCATTGGGAAAGATGAGGGCAGAGAAAGCTGCTTGGAGAATAGCTAATGAAAGGGGTTTGAAGCTCACTACTATATGTTCTGCTCTCATTACAGGTCCTGAATTTTGTCGTAGGAATCCAACAGCAACAATTGCTTATCTCAAAGGTACTATCATGTGATAAAAATCATTGTCCAATTTCTTGTATTTCATTTGATATAATAGAATCTAAAAATGTTAACAAATGCTAATACAGGAGCCCAAGAAATGTATTCTCATGGTTTGCTAGCAACAGTTGATGTAACAAAATTGGCTGAAGCTCATGCATGTGTATTCAAGGCAATGAATAACAATGCTTCTGGTAGATACATTTGCTTTGATAATGTAATTGATGCACAGAGTGAGGCAGAGAAGCTAGCCAAGGAGATTGGGATTCCTAAAGAAAAGATATGTGGTGATGCATCAAACAATTCTTTGCATAGATTTGAACTTTCAAAGGAGAAGTTATGCAGACTCATGTCAAGGCCACTAAGGTGTTACAGTGAATATTAGATGAAATAATGCTGTGCTTTAATCATACCATGAAAATAATGTTTAATTATGGTGTGCCTTAGTGTTTAGAAGAAGAGGAGAGAAAATAGATGAGGCACTGTATTCATTTATGATCTAATGATATATATATATATATGGGTTCGTTTTTTATCATGTCACATAACAAGATCATCTTCCTGCACACACAAATCAAGTGTGGGTCCCACGCTTAAAAGAAAAAAGTCAAACCAAAATCAGGATACGGCGCCGTATCCTCAAGATACGTTGCCGGATCCTTGTTGCAGGAATGAACAGTGTCATTCCTGCAACATAATTTTTATATTTTCCTATATATATATATATTATTCTATTCAATTTTGTACCAAACAATGCTAATGATCTCATTGCTGGCCTTGGAAACCATTGCAAGTAATTAAAATCAACCAGGTTGCCGGCATGCTGAGGTAATTTTGAAGAAAATGTCAACTATAATTAAAACTCTGCATATTATGTATCAAAGATTATAATAATTTAAGTTGCTAAATTCAACTACAGAATCTGAATATTGGTAAGGAGGACTTTGTTTTCTCAACAAAGTGAGGTTAGTAGGCCCTATAAATTGTATAACAAAAAGTTGAGAAAACTTGAAAAGAAAAAGAACGATGTTGTAAGAGCAAACATTAGGTAAACAAAATGAACTTCTGAAAGGAGAGTTTTATGTCCTAATATCAAGTTAAGTTCAACACAAATGGAAAAATATTGCACTAACAAAGTCAATAACTGTCCTTTGCGTACTGTTGTTGTTAGCTGTTCTAGGAGCTTGTCATTAGCCACAAAAGAGAATATCTTGCCAATTATACACTAACACATTGGTTTATAATTCCTAATTTTTACATAAGAGCAAAATTAGGTAAACAAAATGACCTTCTGAAATGAGAGGTTAAGCTAATATCAAGTTAATTTCAACACACATGGAAAAATATCGCACTAACAAAGTCAATATCTGTCCTTGGCTTACCGTTGTTGTTGCCTGTTCTAGGAGCTTGTCATTAGCCACAAAAGAGAAAATCTTGCCAATTATACACGGGTTTACCATTTCTCTTTTTGTTGTAGAATTTTTTTCTGTGACGCTCATATAAAAATTGGAACCCATTTATTTTTATGTAAGTATGGCAGAGAAAAAATTTCTGAAATAAAGACAGAAATATTATTTTCGTTATACACTTATGATCTGTACTCATCCCACACGAGATTATAGACCCAACTAGTAAAATGCTTAACAACTATTGCTTCTAGGAGAAGGAAATGCGGCCATCACGCGCATCATGACCATCCGAAAAACGTTCTAACACACGACACCAACTGCTCAGTTAATTACGGCTACACGACATCAACAGCTCAAAACCCTACTACCTCCTTAATAGCCAATGGTTAGAAGATCGACACATGCTTGCAGCTACACCTACGGGACATAGCCCAACATTAGGCATCGTGCACACAGGATCCCCTGCAAAGGCCACTTTTGCCCATCAATAAGAACGAATACAGCCACACTAAAGCAGCATAATCGAGATGCTCAATCACTATATATACAGAGGCAGTAAACTCGGATGTAATTATCTAGCTATTCAGACATAACTACATAAGATATCTACTGACTTGAATGTCGGAGCGTCTTGCAGATACCTCCTTCCGATCTCTCCAATCAATACTAAATAACAGACATTCATCATCTGCATCCTGCAGCTCAGACATACATCCCAGAGGAATCTCATCTCATAGCATCAGCTCCAGCCGAGACTCAGATAACCAGGGGCTCAATTTATAATTGCTTAAGTTATTAGACTGATCAGTTTATAATTGCTTAGTTTATACATTTTATGTTAATTAGGTCGATTCAAGAATTTTTATCCAAACAAACACTGACCGATTTGAACACCTGTCTTAATTTCATAGATTAACATAATATTAACTTTTTAAATTTTAATGTAAAAATTCTACCATAGAAAACAAGATGAGATAAGTGAGAACCCTTTAAATTGGCTCAGATTGAATGATAATGTGTTGTGGGCTTGTGGCCTACATATCGTACATGGACACTTCCCTCAGATAAATAAATGCATCGACTTTTTTTTTCTTGAAAGATTCTTCATCTAAATCAAAACGTTAATTTTTTTAGTAAATAAACCTACTTTTTAATTTTTTCAGTTACAGTTATATCTTTAAATTTATTTATATGGAAGAATTAGTTTTTCAAAATTTAAAAAATTTGCATCACATTAGTTTTTTAATACTTCACTTTAATTAATTTAAAAATAATTCATTCAAGTAAACAAATTCAAAAATTAAATAGAAAATATACATAATTATAAAAACTTTATAACCTATATACTTATTTGTTTATCTCTAACTTTTTTTTACTTTTTTTTTAGCAAATATCTACTTTTTACTTTATGTGATCGTAAATTGAATTATTCTCATGGAGAAAATAATTTGAATTATTGTTCTGTGGCTGCGCTTCTGTAGTTGGTAGCACGTGAGTGGCTCCACCAACTTTTAATACCTTATTAATCGGTTTCACTTTCTGAGGCCAAAGGAATGGCCATTTAATGTGTTTGATTATTTTGGTGGCAAAACTTGGTTGTATAGCTATGGACCCTTAGGCCCTATTATGGATTCTGTGAATAAAAGCTTTATTTCGTGGAAATAAAATGGCCTTCCATTTATGTACATGCATTTCCAAATCACTCCATCCTTTTTTCCAACTTCCAGCTATTGACAATGGATTCTGTGAATAAAAGCTTTATTTCGTGGAAATAAAATGGCCTTCCATTTATGTACTTGCATTTCCAAATCACTCCATCCTTTTTTCCAGCTTCCAGCTATTAACAATGGCATATCATAATTGCATGAAGACAAAACTTAGATATATATATATATAGAGAGAGAGAGAGAGAGCTACTTCAAAGTTGAATTTCGTATTAAACCATGGGTGCAGTTATAAAGTTGCTGATACAATAATTCTATGTGAGTTGTAGTACTCAAATATTTATAGATATGCTGCTACATTAATAAATTGATTTTAGTATGTCACTAATTAAAAAACCTTGATTTTTACATGCATGCCTTTTTTTTAGTAAATGATTTTTACGTGCCTGTTTATCTTGTTATTAATTTGATTACTATGAAGAGCACTTAATAACAATATGTATGGAAATGTCTTTGCTTTCTTGCCCACGTACTATTTATGTGTAGCATTTAGTACTTAATAATACATATATGCTAAAAGGAAAATGTATCTTATACTGATAAATTGTGTACAAAAGCTTCACACATAATGCAATGTGTCAAACAACAAGCGAGGAAGGAAAAAGTTAGTTGGTGCATGTGATAGGTAAGCAGGTACAAATAGCCACTTATTATATATCAACCACAATATGGAAAGTGCAGGTACAAAAAGTAAAGAGTAAAAATAGTCTATTATTTGCACATTAAATTTGCAAAATGCAGAAAATAAATCTACAAAAAAGTATAATTGAGTTCAGTTAAAATTTATTTAATTATATCACCAAAAAAAATATTGAATTCAAATAAAATTTAAGGTAAACTTTAATACTGCTATATGTGAAGGTGTTGGGTCAAGTCGGATCCTCAAGTCAATTGCGGAAGCGAAACAGTAAAATGTAAGAGGGGAGAGATGGAGAAGAACACAAGCAATTTGTTTAACGTGGAAAAACTTTCTCCAATGTGAAGAAGTAAAAACTCACAGGACACTAGTCCAGAATCAAACTTCCACTATAAGAATAATGGGTTACAACAATCAAACATCCCTAGTCTTTCACTAGAGGTACAATCAAATGTCACCTACAATGGTGGTAATATCAAACTTCCCTAAAGAGGTCTCACTCAAACTTCTCTCTAGATGTATTTTTCATCTCATCTCTCGTATCTCTAAACCTCACACACTATAAGCTTATATAGGGGAAGGAGACGATTCTAGACATTGAACCACTCAAAGAATGTGTACCTTGAGCCTTGCACCTTCATTTATGGAGAGACATTGAACCACTCAAAGAATGTGTACCTTGAGCCTTGCACCTTCATTTATTGAGAGACATTGAACCACTCAAAGGATGTGTCCCTTGAGCCTTGCACTTTCATTTATGGAGAGATATTGAACCACTCAAAGGTTGTGACCCTTGAGCCTTGCACAAAAAATGGAGAGTTCCAACCTCTTGGGACTTGAGTCAAGCATTGAAGGAGGAACAACTCCCAACAAATCTCCCTATTTCGACTTCAATGCGTCCGAATCAATATCATTCTGACACCTTCACAGCAATCTCCCTTTCCACCATAGCATGAAACTCTTTAAAGGATTGAAGTACCTGATCTCTAGTTTTCAACAAATATACCACACTTTGCGAGAGTGGTCATCAATAAAAGAAACAAAATATTGAGCTCCTCCAAGGGATCTCTCCGACATATGAACGAGGTCAAGAATATACATTTGTCTTCTGGGTTGGTCCGGTTTCACAAACGAAACCTGATGCTGCTTTCTAGCTAGGCAGTGCGTGCAACTTGTAAGAACCTGCACCGTTAATTAAGGAAATTAATCAGTTAATTATGAGTTTAATGAGATAATTCCATAATTGACCCTAATAATTATTATGAGGCTTTAATAATTATAGTAAGTGATTAAGAATGCTGAAAGTCGCTTTTCTGACGAAAAGTGCAGATACCGGTTCGGCTAGTCGATATAAATGCGTACCGAAAAAGTATCCCGAAAAATTATAATAAGTGCATGATAATTACTAGAATAATACGTAGGACTTGTAAAACGATTTTCAAGTTAAAATAATGAGAACTGGTGCCAGAAACTGGTACCGGCTATGAAAAGCGCGTACCGAAAAGGTGGTTCGAAAAATATAAGAAAAATATGATAATTCTTATAATATTGAGTAGGTTAAGAATACTGAGTTTGGGATTAAAATGATAAGCGTAGCAATTAAAGTTAATACTGTGTGTTAATTGGTTAAGTGACTATATAAGCTTAGTGCACATGATCCTAGGTCATAAATTGCTGCCTCCTACGTGAGTTTTGCTGAGTCTTGAGTCAGCCACCATCTTGCCACCTTGTCCTTCATTGTTGTGAGCCAAGGAGCTTCCTTTCT